TTCATTATTACACACGTTCCTTTGCCACTGATGTAGCTGGTAATTTTTCATTTCTTCTGCACTGTGAGAAACTCTGTCATCGCATTTCCCGGCTTAAATTCGGTAAATTTACATTTCGAGGATGGCACATAAATATGAGATATTAGTTTTCGAATAAGTTTTCTTGTCTAATTTTTTGAATTATTAAAACTTCCGGCAAAATATTCATGTGTCCGTATCTGAGAACTAGGCGTACGTAAAAGGATCTTTCTTTTGCATTTTTAACCCTTGTGCTATTATAACATTGGCCTGGGAACTACCACTCAGTAATCCGTTTTGTCCATCTGTTGTCTCTTGTTCTTCTCCAGTGACCATCCAAGCTTATTAGCTCAATTTATTCTGATATTTTCATTACCAGTACTTGCTTCGCCTCTCCGTCTGTAGTTGGTAGTGAAAAACCATTTTCTGAAGTTTCCTTCTTGAGTTTTTTTGAAAGTTATTTGAATTCGTGCATTATCTAGCTCAAATAAACTTTAATAAGTGTTAGAAGGATATTGGAGCATTCTATAAATCCGATTTTGGCCCACGATGATCAAAATCCATAGATATTTTTGGTTATAAGCGACGGTCCGTAGCCAGTCTCCATTTTTGCTGAGAATTTTAGTCGATTTCATTTCGGAGCGCATTGTTTGGTGCTTGCCAGATCTAGCTGTTTCAAGCATATTTATTGGAAAAATGAATTTATTATGCGGGGTTTTGAGCTGTTGGCGAAATCCACAAGCCTTTTAATCTCAGTTCAGAGGATCCGATAAATATGTTCCAGCGATTTCTGTTTTCGATTTTGGCATTGAAACTTTCATGAGCTGTCAGAAAAATCGGGCAACCTCAGAGAATTGTCATTTTTGGCCCCTAATGATATGGACGCATAGACTGGCTTGAAGATCACGGTGGATTTTTTGATGGCACGGACTCCAGCATTTTTACTTGTGATAATGATGTGCCTTTCGAGACGAACTTGGCCTTTGCCTGTATTTTTTCAATAATTGGCCGTTCCCTCTATCGAACTCTTCAACCATACGCCATCTTTCCATTTTGCGTCTGCTCTAATTAGTGGCCTGAAGTGCCGGACGGTTTTCAATCGATATTCCTCCAGCAAAAAATCCACCTCCTGGCCATTGCTGTGCTTTTATTGACGTCGAAGATGCCCGCAGTAGATAGTGCTTCATTTCATTTCGAAGTTTTCTTTAACCGTCGCTGCACTGTTGATGATATTCAGTGGAATTTTTGATTCTTCTTCTTTTCTGGGAGAAAAAAGAAGGTTTTTGATGAGTTTAGGTCGAAAAATAAGGTTTTTGATGAGTTTTGGTCGAAAAATCTCCTTTATGCTCACATTTATAACGCATGCTTTTTTTTTGCCTTTTACTTCTCCCTCCTAATTTTATTACTGCATAATTGCATTGAATGTATTTTCCACATTTTACTGTGTACTATTTTAATGTTACAATTAGGAGCTGGCTGAGCTGCAGTCATTTTCACCATCGAAGAATGTTGAGGAGTCCGCTGGTGCAGAGAATCAAAGTCCAGAACAAGAAACGAAGCCTCAGCGCGTTTCGAAAGCGCAAAAAAGACGAGTAAGTTCGAACAAACGTTGTATTGGACGTTTGAAATTTTATTTTATATTTTCGATATGTTTTTAAAATTTCTTCCATTTGCATAGAAATATTAAAAAAATGTTTTTTTAAAAGAATTTTTAAAAAGATTTATGGATTTTTAAAAGTTTCTATGCGTATTAAACAGGCAATGGGTACTAACTGAAGATATGCAATTCAAAATCGAAAAGCTTTTCACAGCTACACTCGGCCTATAGGAGCATCCTAGCAACATCATTAACATGGGATACACAGACTGATTGCCCAGGTGGACTTAATAATCTTGATTTAAGCACTTTCGTGAGTGTATGTAGGAACGGTAATTTCAAATTTTGATTTTTGTTTCCGCTGCTGTTGTTTCATCGGAGCCAAAAGAAGCGATGGGGCATTTTTCTCCCCCAATAAGTCACTTGGGGACACAAAAATGTGTATTTTTGGTTGGCATTTTTGACCATAAACCATAAATTAGACCAACCAAAAAATAAAAAAATCAGAGGGAGGTGGAAATCGAAACGAATTTTTTTACAGAAAAGAGTATTAATGTTCTGATCATTTATGTTTTAGTAAGAATGTAAAAAGATCGTATGCTTTTGCAGGAAAAAAAGGCGGAATTGAATAGGAAGCTTGAAGAAGCTGCAGAAGCGGACAAAACGAATGCTAAAAGTACACGAAGTAAGGCAGATTTTATAGAAATTTTTTCTAGATAACTAGTTATGCTTTTTTTTTTTTAATTTTTTTACGTGATAATTTTTTTTGGGATTTTTTTTTACATTTTTATTTACGTTTTTTTGGGTTTTTTATTTTTTTTTTTTACTTTGTTTTACACTTTTATAGTTTTACACTTCTTTTGCCATTTTTTATGATTTTTACTTTATACTTTTTAATAGTTTTTACTGTGATTTTACTTTTTTACTCTACTATAGGTTTCACTGTATAATTTTTATTATTTCATTACTTTTCATAGTTTTTTTGCTATAGCTTTATAGATTTTACTATTATAGTCAAACTATAAAATTTATAGTTTTTACTTTTTTTTTTAACATTTTTGCTATGTAATTTTTACATAGCCATTAATTAAACAAAGCAGATGTCTTGTTTAATTGTGTCGAAATTTAGGAAAATTAGAAATGGATGCAATAGAACGGATTCTTTCGGAACGAGGACTTGTGATACACGAAATCCCACCGGACGGTGACTGCCTCTACAGTTCACTTGCTCATCAGCTTTCGATTGTTTCTGAAATCAAGGTAAGTCAACTTGTTATTGCGAAAATTAGAAAATAATAAAAAATAATCCCGTTTTTCAAGTTAATTTACCTTGAATACCTTGAACAGCTGTTGTTTCATCGATCTCTGGTGTCACGTCATCGATGCAGCTGG